GACTCATAGCTACCCTGTACAGGGTTTCCGAGGCTGTAAATCTTTATGGGGGCAGAAAGCTGCATCTTTCTCCCACATAACAGCTGGTAGTTTCAAACAGCTGACTTTAAGGTTTGTAGCCCGATTTGTAACCACTATGCTACCAGAGCTCCTACTAATATAATAGTTCCTTAAAATATTTGGACATAATAGGTTCCATTTAAAATATTTAAATCGTTCCATTTAAAATACTACCTTGTTTATTTCTCTTCACATTTCTTTATCTGTGTTCATTCTATTTTTCAAATAGATGGAGGTTATTTTTATAGTGTCTACCATTGGCTTTCTTTATTGCACTTAGACTCATGTAACAATGAGTCGAGTAATCACTCACACACAGTCCTCATTATCCATATATAACCTCATGTATGTATTAGTGGCTGTGTGCCATGGAGTCAGTTCCGATTCATAGTGACCCTGTACAGGGTTTTCTAGGCTGTAAATCTTTACTGGAGCAGAACACCTTATCTTTCTCCCGTGGAACAGCTGGTAGTTTCCAATGGCTGACCTTGCGGTTCGCAGCCCGATTCGTAACCCCTACACTACCAGCAATTTTCCTCCAAATGTTGTTGTTGTTGTGAAGTGCCGACGAGTCGGTTCTGACCCATAGCGACCCTGTACAGGGTTTCTGAGGAGCAGCTGGTAAGCTTGAACCACCAACTTTGCAGTTCAAACGGCTTTGCAGTCTGGCACATTAACCCACAGCGCCACACCAGGACATGTATGTATTAGGAGAATAAATAATACTCGCAAGGTTAGGAACCTTTCATAAAGCCAAACATCTCATATAACGGGAAAAGCATGTTCATAACACCTGCTCGTAAAACCGAATAATAATTTTTACCTCCTATTAACAAAGCAAAAGCTAGCATTTAAAGTGTCAAATTTTTAGTTTACACATGGGACATGAGCACTGTCTATGGACTCCTGGTGTGGCGTTTAAGGATCACCACTGGACTGCGAACAAGGTCAGCATTTCAAATCCATCAGCTGCTCCCTGGAAACCCTACACAGGGTAGGAACCACTATGAGTGAGAACTGACTTGACAGCACTTAACAACAATATAACTATGAAAGATGAGTAATACTCATTACTAATTTTGTGGCACCTCTCACTCAAGAAATAAAATTGATCTAAAAAGTTTTAATAAAAATTTTAAAATCCTATTTCTTTTATCATCCGTTTTAATATAGCCTCACAATTAAATACAAGTGTCTCTGGGTGCTGTGAAAAGATCAACGTGCTCAGCTGCTAACTGAAAGCTTAGAAGTTCAAGTCCACCCAGAGGCACTTCAAAAGAAAGGCCTGGTGATCTGCTTCAAAAATAACAGCTTTGGAAAACCCAATGGAGCACAGTTCTACTCTGACACCATGAGCTGGAGTGGACTCGACGGAAATTGGTTTTGGGGACAAAACTGTTTACTGGTTCCTAATTACAAACTCTTTGCTTGTCATTTAAGGTTCTTCAATATCAACTTTGTATTTAAGCTCATGTATTAATAAAAACTACAATGTGAATTAAAAAGAAGCATCTAATTCTTAGTTCTTAAACCTAGAATCTACTAACCCAACTAGACCAGTATCAGTACCCACACAGTCTGCCACCGGTCTGCCTTAAAATTTATGATCCCAAGACAAGAAAACAAATGGAAGTCCATATTCATGTATGTAAATAGTAAAAAGTGATCAATTAAATTAACAAACTGTTAAATCTGTTCTGTCCTATTGTAGTACTTTATAACCGAGAGAGACAAGTTAAAATTTAGAATTTTCAAATTACCTGGCATTCCAAACCAAAATCTTAGACAGATATAAAAAGCCAGTCTCCTGCCTAGCTCCTTCTCTTCCTATCTCACATTCTGTCCTGCATTATCAGTCAGTCTGAAGCACATGCAGGTATATATACCAGACCCTAGAAATGGGCTTTGGGATTACAGGCAGCAAATTCCAGATCTCAGACACCCACAGGAGATCTACAAATGGGGACACAGTTAGAGAAAGGCTAAAGTGGGACCCCCTATGTTCAGGTGCCAGAGCAAGGATCTCATTTACCTGGGGATAAAGTCATTATTGTTCTATCCATCTATCCAGGATGCTAGCTAAATGAAGCCTATCCTCTCAAAAAGTTTGAGAGAATGATATATTCAATGCTAGGGATAATAGGCTAAAACAGGCATTAATACACCACTGATAGAAGTCTAAGGAGCCCTGGTGGCACAGTGGTCAAAGCACTTGGCTGCTAACCAAAAGGTCAGCGATATGAACCCAC